CTAATACCTGAAAAAGTAAAAACATCAACCATTATTACCTTATTATCATGTGGTTACCACCACATTCACATGTCATTGATGTTTTATTTCAAACAGGTCAGTTTTGGATATATGTGGCACTAAAACCTTAATATAAATAAATTAATGTGACACATGACTGTGTTCACAGTTTCTTCTGTTAAAATCATCTTCTCATGTTTTCATAGAAAGATGATGAAAGAACCTGTAGAAGAACCACCAACTAAAGCAGCTTCTACAGCAGGTAGGAGACCAATGGTTTCTCTGATGAGCTGTATGGATGTAAAGAGACGAGGCACAATACTTTGCCTGTTTGTAATGCTCATTGGGGAAAAAAATGTCAGAGCACTTGCACATAGTTATCTATATACTGTCTTTAAAAATGGTCACGAATTCAAATCTGTTGCAACATGTCTTAATCTTTCTTTGGCACATTTTCATAACATGACAATTTCAGTCTAAGGGGCTTGGAAAAGAAAGCAGCTTTACTCAAAATGATCCCCTTGGCATCAATGTTTGAGGGGGATACATGTTTATGTCTCTTCCTTCTTCTTGTAGAAGAGGAGCTTGCCAGGGTGCGGTCAGCTTTTGTTTGGAGGGTGTCAACAGAAATCCTTAAACAGCTCCTTGAGGCCCTTGTAAGTGACGGTGTCTTAAATGAATTGGAGAAAGAATCAATACTGGAAGGGAACCCAGTCAGAGCAGATAAGGCACGTTGCTTCATTGATACAGTGAGGAAGAAAGGGGACAAAGCCAGCAGGATAATGGTCAGACATCTTCAGACTATAGATCTCTCCCTTTTCTCTCAGCTGCGTTTATACTCTGATCCATCTGCTCAACAAGGTGAGTCCACTTTTCTCTGTAGTTTGTTGAGATGTGAAGTTTAAAACCTCAGAATTTAATATAACGAAAAGCAGAAAGCGGGAACTTCATTCCACAACATACATTTAGATTTATTAAAGGGCTGCTCACAATGGAAAAAAAAAAGCCCTTTCCCAAACGTCCATGAAGGAGTGAAGATCATTAGAAGATGTATTGGTAGCAGAATAAACCCTGCAATTACCTCTTAAATCCTTGCCTGCAAGACCACTGTGACCACAATCATCACATGTACAAACTACAAACTACTGGAGAATAAAAAAAAATCTCTTAGAGACATGCTGAGAACAACTCCCTGAAAAGTAATGAGGTGGAATAAGAAGTATGTTGTACTAACCAAGGATTTTAAGTGTGTTGTACTTACAGAGTAGTGAACTAAAGTATTACACTTGAGAGAAATTATATCACATAAGCGTTTAACTTAAAATAGACTGCTCAGAATTATTTTTTTAACATAGATTTTTCTTAGCTCTATTTATGTGAACAGTAATCTTATTTGGTTGTTAAAACCGTGAAAACTAATTGCCTTATAAAAAAAATAGTGTCACTTGTATGACACTAGTTTTTTTAGTTGTTAAAACTAGCCTGTTTAGTTGTTAAAACCGTGAAAAACTAATTGCTTTAAAAAAAAAAAAATAGTGTCACTTGTGTGACTTCTTGAGTGCTTCAGAAACCCATGAAGGAAAAATATTCCAGTCTTCTAAGAGTCACAGTATGCATAGTCCCTTTTCGAGTTTATGGCAGGAATTTAATGTGAAATATTGAATTTCCCTCAGATGTTTATTTTAAACAGTGTAGGTAGCAGTTGAAAGACAGCATGAAAGTTCAGTGGTATTTTTAGTGACAAAATTTGGAGAAGTCCGGAGTTGAAAACCTGTTTAGTTTGTAAATGTTCCCATTGGTTACACAAGCCACAAACCCTTAGTGTGACTGCACAGAAGTTCCATTTATTTAAATTATAACAGAACAGGAGCTTCTTTGGTTTGGTGATGATTTGTTGTATCTCAAGCTGAGCATCACTCAGTGAATGAAGCCAGATGTATTTTTCATGACATCAAGATTGAAGAAGCACAAATAACCCAACAATCCAAACAAGAGGAAAAGTAATTTAAGTAACTCTTTGAGACCATTCGTTAAAATGTCAGTGGAAGTACACACTTGATCAAAAAGAAAGTGGAAAAGATTTGAAGAAAAAGGCACCTCTTCACCTTTGCCAAAGTGATATCTTTGCCCGTCCTTCATCACAGAAGCTTGTTTAAAACCATACACAAAGATGGTAAATGTTGGTAT